CACCGAAAATTTATGAGGGAAAGATACTATAAATCATATAGCTAATTCGTATGGTTAGTGGGTGAAGGGTTTGCATCACTTGGAAAAGGTGTTTAATGAATTAATTGTTATTGGCCTGAAAAATATGGAAAGGAAGGGGAACTCTATTATTTGTTATTAGGGGTGAAAATAGGCCAGGCCTCACCCTTAATAAGCCCAACCTGTAGTGAGGCCTATTGGTCTAAGCCTGGCCTACGGCTTATAAAAGGCCTTTTATTCAACCTAAGCCTGGCCTAGCCTGTGGCCTATTAAGAGACCTTTTTTAAACAAATTTTAAATACACATAAATCAATTCAAAATTATAATAATTCAACCCAATTTATCTAAAATACAAACGGAACATATGAAATTATCAAATGAACACAATTTGTAAAACGTGTCTCCTTGGGCCCAAAAGAAAAATCAAATATGAAAAATTATTAGAAAACATAATTTTACTCTGGTATAAAAATATCACTTCATCCCATCTCTAGTATAAAAATTAGTTATGACTAGATCTAGTTTAAAATATGAAACATCCTTAATCCTTTTTATATTTTAAATTTATCATTTGTTCAAACTAATTTACTAACAAAATGATATTTGATCTCGTTGTTACACATAGTTGTTTTTAAAAAAATATGTTACATTTATTATAATTTATTTATTTAAATTAATTAAGCAACTATTATAATAAGAATTAGATTGAATACACAGATATACAATCTAAAACGTAATAGGTCAATTCTATAAATATATATTCTATATAAGATTAATATGAAAAACATAGATCAAATAAATGAATGATGCTTTTGTTTTTCTTAATGCAGTTATGTTTTCTTTCTCTGTTCAAATATGTATTATTATCCATACATCAATTATTTTTATTATAGAGAATGGAAATAAAATGAAGCATGCAATGATCTCTGGATAGCATGTTTATGTGGGTGAAATTTTCTCAATTAACCAATCAGAATAGCAGATTCTCTCCTGTCTATTTACAATTTTAACTTAAAAAAAAAAGATAACAGGCCCAAACCGCCTAACAGGTCTAAAAGGCATATTATCAGGCCTGAGCCTAGCTTGATAAAGTAAACAAGCTTTTTTTACAAGCTTGAGCCTGTTCTGATATTTAAATAGGCTAGGCCACAGGGCCTTGACAGGTCACCTGACCTATTTCCACCTCTATTTGTTATAAAGGTTTTTGGAGGTTAAAAATAAATAAATATATATATCATCAATTTTTCTACTGAAGAAGGGGCAAAAACGCGTGCTTCGTCGACCGTATAACGGCTTGAAGATAGTATTGTGGCTCAGTACAAACTTCCCTTGGGAGAGAATAAAAACTTAAGAAGAAACATGTCATTTAAGTATCAACAAAATTACATGCTAACCCATATACTACACTCGAATCCTAATTATAAGACCTCATTTATAATTATAAAATCCTGTTTATAATCTACAAATAAAGTTTTTATAATTAGAACAAGAGGTAGTAATAATTTTAGGAAAAGAAACATTTTTTATCTTATTGACAGTGTCACCATATACTTCATTTATGTATCTTGCACAGAACAGTCCACATTGCCCATTTAACGTTCTTTTACGACTAGCCCTATCATTATCTCATTATGTAAACGATAAGTTGGAATAGCCAGTAAGGGCTTAGTTCTTGGGATTGTGAGACCAAACTTTTCGTTCATGTCCAAGTCACCGGGACAAACGCCACGAGGAAGCTCCCAATTAAAGCAATGCACCAGTTGAGCTAAAACTAATTTAACTGTAGTTAGACCCAACTGGGTCCCAGCGCATCCTCTTCGACCTGAGCCAAATGGTAATAGCTGGAAATCATGCCCTCGAACATCTATATTGCTATCGACAAATCTTTCTGGATAGAACATATGAGCATTGTCAGACCAAACCTTAGGATCACGTCCTATGGCCCATACATTTACTAAGATCCTTGTCTTTTTTCTTATGCAATATCCATTGACTATGACATCATCCTTCATACTTTCTCGAGGGATTAAGAAAGGTCCAGGTGGATGTAGTCTGAGAGCCTCCTTAATGACCATGTCCAAATAACTTAAGCTTGCTAAATCAACTTCTTCCACCATTCTGTTCATTCCAACTACTTCTTGCAGTTCATTTTGGAGATCTTTCATGACTCTTGGATCCCTCAAGAGTTCAGACATAGCCCATTCAATTACAACAGAAGAAGTATCAGTTGCCGCAAGGATCATATCTAATAAAAGAGCCGTGAGGTTAGGCCTATCAATGGTGTGGTCTTGGTCATCGTGCAGCAAATCCATGGGTTGATGCAGCAAAGAAAGCAATATGGAGATGAAATCGTTATGGTGCTGTAAATTTGGTTCTGTAAGTGCAAGTTCATGCTCAGCGATTGTCTTCTCCAATGCATCGTCAAGCGCCTTTCTGTTTCTCCTTAACTTTCGTGTCAATCCCTACCAAACATTAGTTGAATAGCTCCTTAACTGATTTGAGTGTAACACTAAATACATATTTTTCTCCTTCATATATTTTTTGTGTAACAACTTCAATTAAGAGAATATTCAAAGATTTCCTGATCCATCCTTTTATCTGCAGGTTCTTATTCAATGATCTACTTGTGGCGCTCGCGCACACACATATATATAGCATTCTTTTATAATTAAGTCATCAATGAAAACTATAACAATCATGTTATCTTAACTTCTTTCTTTTTTTTGCCAGGAAACATATTACCTTAACTCTCTTCCGCAATAAATCTATGATTTTCTTGAAAAGTATCCAAACAAGAGATGATATTATTAGTTTGTAAGATAACCCTAATTTTCGGTTCATATATGATGAATTTTGACATGCACAACTGTGGTTGGTCTTGAATTCAAGATTAATTTCAGCACGCATATATATGTTTGGATTTTTTTTTATCGAAAAAGACCATAATTTTGACTCTTGTAATTACTAAATCAAACAATTTTATGCCATTAGATTATCAAATATTAATATTAAGCAAAATTCTCTCTTTTGCGCGAGGCATATATACCTGAAGATCAAACGCAGCAAGCCAAGGGATATAATCAGCAATGTTAAACTGTCCCACCAAGTTCAGAACCTCGTTCATCAGCCCTCGCAACTGAAACCTATCATCCTTACGACGTCCCAGCACCATCCTATACATCATGTTCTCCAAAAGCTCCCCCACCTTTTCACTAACATCCACAACTTCTCCGGCGGCCGCCGCCCTCTCCAGCCTCTTCACCGTCGCTCCCACCTCCTCCTTCCTCAGAGGAGCGAACATCTCCACTCTTGACGCGCTTAGAAGATGAAGGGTACACAATTTCCTCACATATCTCCAGTATGGACCATACTCTGCAAACGCCACTCCCCTCACTCCCTTCTTGAACGGATCTGTCGACTGTACTTTGGGTCGAGATGCAAAAACGGCGTCGTGCGTCTTCAGGATTTGCCCCGCAGCTTCAGGGGACGAAACGACGACCGCAGGAACTTGTCCCAGCTTCAACGACATGATCGGACCGTATATTTTGGCCAGCGATTGAAGGCTGTGGTGTGGCCGTTCGCCCAACAAGTGAAGGTTGCCGATGATTGGTAGGGACGGTGGTCCTGATGGTCGTTTCCGATCATCTTGTTGTCGTTTTGTGAAGAGCATGGAAGTGGATAGAATGAATATGAATGTAAGGATGAAGAGGATAGCAGGAGGAAACATGTTTGATTGTTTCTTCAGAGACAAAAAACAAAATTATGAGCTTTTTACATGAAAGTGGAGACGCAGGTAAGAGGTTTCGATGGCTAATGTAGTAAAATAAATAAATAAATAAAGGTTCAGTAATTCATTTTAGGTATTATTTTTTATTTTTTAAAATGGCTCTTACATTTATTGTAAAGGTATAAATTTATACCTTGCTGGAAAAAAGGAATTAGCAGCCAAATTAAAATTTATTTATAATGCCAACTTTCGAGAGTGCTTCAAGAGGCAATGTTATGAATATGAACGCTAGATTTATATCTCACGGAATGCATGGGATGTTTTAGTACATGAAAGGTAAGGTTAAATAGAAATATTAAAATTTAAAACAGACGAGTATATCATTTTAATTATAGATGATTTTCTTCGATTTTAAAAGCCGTAAGAACCTCCCCTGAAATCAATAGTTATAAAGCACAAACATTCCTTTTATTTTTAACATTTTATTTCCATCCACTACCCATTCGTTATTTTATAATTAAGTCATACGTGTTGGATCAAAGTACCTCTCCTGAGACACAGATGCTAGGTTACAAAATTGATAATACATTCGATCCTAATTATAAGATCTCGTTTAGTCTACAAATGAAATCTTATAAGTAGGAACAGAGGTAGTATTAAATAATAGGTGTTTTAATATATAATAATAATAATTTCATAATCAACTAAATGATTTTTGGTGCACGGAATTGCAGAAATTGTCTCAACCGCCCACCAAGCGGTAGATAGTCTGCTTTTATTTATGAAATATATAGATTCATTTGATTTGTTGGCTGGCCAAAAGAAAAATCCCTTTTATTTGAAAACGTCCATGGAAGAGAAATGAACGTAACTCGTATCAGCAATTCGCCTTCAGAGTACCGTCATCTGAAACATCGAAGAGTATTAAAAATGAGTTGTGCCTTTCACTCCAAAACAAAAAAAGAGATGTGCCTCTTTGTATTGATCCAAGTGAGTTAACATTAACAACTAATAAGAGTGAATGTATTCAATTTAAAACACGTACTTCTAATTCCAGTATAAATCGAAGGACTCTAAATTACATTATTGAATTAAAGTAAAATAGTATAACAGTCTCTCTCTCTCTCTCTCTCTCTCTCTCTCTCTCTCTCTCTCTCTCTCTGTCTCTCTCACACACACAGTCTCTTACACGTACATGGAACAATAGACTTTGTACACACACTAAAATAACTTCAAAAAAGGCTTCTCACCCTATTTACGTATGTAAACGATAAGTTGGAACTGCTAGCAAATGCTTGGCTCTTGGAATTGAGAGACCAAACTCTTCATTCATGTCCAAGTTGTTGTGAAATAATGCAATATGTGTGTCAAATAAAGTCCCACATGGGAAAGATGAGAAGAAGTCTAAGTGTATAAATGAGATCAAGCATCCTTGGGGGAGTAAATGGGCCAAGAGGGAAGTGGGCCTCGCGCACACAACAACAGGCCACCAGGAGGGAAACGCAGTTGTAAACCGGCAATTTCCCCCCCTGCGCGTGAATTAAACGCGGTAAAGCCTCATTTTACGAAAATTATTTTAAACTTTGTTGAATATTTTTTAATAAAATTATGCTTACCAGAAAAGCCTTATTTTGGACCTGTTAAAAGTCAAGAGGCTTACTGTTTCGTTTTGTGGCCGACCGGACGCGTCTCGCGGGGTGTAGACGAACGTTGTGTGCACCAACGTTCGCGCTGTTCCGTCTCCAACGGAACCTTACGTTGCTTCGGTCGTACCCGCTCGGCGAAACAGAGGGATGCGTCCTCCGGTGATGTGGCCATTCGCGCCTATATAAGGGACTGTCCAGGCAGCGTGATTATACACTGTTCCATCCTCTTCCTCTTCTCTCCTGCTGTGTTTCCTGTTACAATCGCTTTCGCTGTTCTGCTACCTTGCTTCGCAGGAAGGGTTCGTTTGATCCTGGGGAGTGCCGCTGCCTGTTACACCGAGGGGCTGCGGAATATCTCTCAAGGATAGTGTCCTTGTGACGCGACTCGAACCGGATTTGCTGTTCCTCATTTGCTGCCGCCAACAATCTTGAGAGATATCCTGAACAATGGCTGCAAACAACGACGCTGCTGGCTCCAGTGCTGTTCCTGTCAGCGTTCCCCTGAACGTCCCGGCAGCCATACCGCTTCCTAGGCCATTCCCTGACACATCCAAGATAGAAATGTTCGATGGAAGCAACTTTAGGCGGTGGCAAGAACGTGTCTACACAATTCTGGACATGCATGGAGTCGTCAATGCGCTGACTCAATCAGAACCTGCTGCAGATGCTGATCAAGGACAGAAGGATATGTGGCACCAGGCCAACAAAGTATGCAGGCACACTTTGATCAGTACACTATCTAATGATTTGTTTGACATCTACAGCGTCTACAAAGAGGCCAAGCAAATATGGGAATCATTGGTTCTCAAATATACTGCTGAGGACGCTGGGAAGCAGAAATTTGTGGTCGGAAACTTCTATAGGTGGGAGATGACCGATGACAAAGACATCAAGCTTCAAATCAATGAATACCACAAATTACTGGAGGAACTTCGGGCTGAAAAGATCAATCTTCCTGACGAGTTCATCGCTGGGGTCCTGATTGAAAAGCTACCAACCTCATGGAACAACTACAAACAACAACTCAAGCATAAACAGAAACAATTGTCGCTTACCGGCTTGATCACTCACATCATCATTGAAGATACCAACAGAAGGACAATACAAGCAGCGAAAGAGAAAGAGATGGCTGCCAAAGCAAACCTAGTGGAAACAAAACCACGCAACAAGAGGTACGACCCTAACTCAAAGAAACAGAAAAATAAGAAACCTGATTACAAACCCAAAGGCACTAACTCCAAATTCAAGAAGAAGGGCAATTGTTTTGTTTGTGGCAAACCTGGACATTATGCAGCACAGTGCAGGAAGAGGGCTAAGGGAAGTTTTCAAAAGGATGAAAATCCTCCCAAGCCAAATGTGAATTTGGTTGAAGGAGATGACAGTGACAATGATGAAGTAATTGCTGCAATGCTTTCTCAGGCCCTCCTCATCTCTGATGTGAGAAAATGGGTGGTAGACTCTGGGGCTACCAAGTACATATGTGCAAACAGGGAAATGTATACCTCCTTCGAAGAAGGGGAAGATCACATTTATCTCGCTGACTCCCGAACTGCAAAGGTTCAGGGAAAGGGAAAAGTGGTGCTGAAACTCACATCTGGGAAGTCTCTAGTGCTAAATGATGTTCTGTATGTGCCCGATATGAGAGCAAATTTAATTTCTGTGGCTCTCTTGGGAAAGGCTGGGGTGAAAGTGTCATTTGAGTCTGACAAAATTGTGATGACAAAGAACAATGTTCTTGTGGGGAAGGGTTACTGTAATCAAGGTCTCTTTGTACTGAGTGTCGATATGAATGATAATGCATCTTCTTCTGTTTACTTGGTTGATTCTTATGATCTATGGCATGCTAGATTAGGGCATATTAATAGGAAATATATCAAAAGGTTGCAACACCTTAAATTAATTTCTGAAACTAAAAGTAATAATATTGGTAAATGCGAGATTTGTGCAGAAACCAAAATGACTAAAAAATCACATTTTCCTACACAAAGAGAGACTGAGTTATTGTCATTAATACATACTGATTTAGGTGATTTGAAACAAACAGAGACTAGAGGTGGTAAAAGATACTATATTACCTTCATTGATGATTTTTCTAGATACACTAAGGTGTACCTGTTAAGAAATAAAGATGAAGCTTTTGAAAAATTTATCTTATATAAGGCAGAGGTAGAAAATCAACTAAGTAGGAAAATTAAAAGAGTTAGATCTGATAGAGGAGGAGAATATTTATTACTAAATGACTTTTGTGAAAAAGAGGGAATAATACATGAAGTAACACCTCCTTACTCACCTGAATCTAATGGAGTTGCAGAAAGGAAAAATAGAACTTTAAAAGAATGATGAATGCTTTGCTTGTGAGTTCTGGTGCACCTGATAACTTATGGGGTGAAGCTCTGTTATCTGCTTGCTTTTTACAAAATAGAATACCTCATAGGAAAACTAACAAAACACCTTATGAGTTGTGGAAAGGTTTTGTACCTAATCTTAAATATTTGAAAGTGTGGGGGTGCCTTGCAAAAGTTTTATTGCCTGATTTTAAGAAAAGGAAAATTGGTTCTAAAACTGTTGACTGTATGTTCATTGGTTATGCTCAACAAAGTGCTGCTTATCGTTTTTTAGTTTTGAATCAAAACACAATTACTGAAACAAAAGATGCTGAATTTTTGAAAACATTTTTCCATTAAAAGTTGAGCATATTCCCAAAGGTGTTGAAAATCCTTCTGCCTCTTTCCAAGAAAAAACAAATCAAGTTTTGACTGAAGAATTACGGAGAAGTAAAAGACAGAGAAAGGAAACATCCTTTGGAGATGATTTTTACACATTTTTAGTACAAAATGAACCTAGAAACTTTTATGAAGCAATCTCTTCTCCGGATGCAGAGCTTTGGAAAGAAGCAATTAAAGATGAAATAGACTCCTTAAATAAAAATAAAACTTGGGTTTTGGTAGACTTGCCTTCAGGAGCAAAACCTATAGGTTGCAAATGGGTCTTTAGGAAAAAATATTTTCCTGATGGAACCATAGATAAATACAAAGCACGGCTTGTAGCTAAGGGTTTTACCCAAAAGGAAAATATTGATTATTTTGATACATTCTCTCCTGTTACAAGGATATCATCTGTTAGAATCCTTATTGCTTTAGCATCAATTCATAAGCTATTTATACATCAAATGGATGTTAAAACAGCATTTCTAAATGGTGATTTAGAAGAGGAAATTTATATGGTACAACCTGAAGGGTGTGCTGTTCCTGGGCAAGAAAACAAAGTATGTAAGTTAGTAAAATCTCTATATGGCTTAAAACAAGCACCCAAACAATGGCATGAGAAGTTAGATCAAGTTTTAATGAGTGGTGGTTTCTCTACTGTCGAAGTAGAAAGATGTGTTTATACTAAAGTTGTGAATAATGATTGTGTGATTATTTGTTTATATGTGGATGATATGCTTATTTTTGGAACCAGTATGAATGTGGTGCTTGAAACAAAAATGTTTCTTAATTCAAATTTTGATATGAAAGATCTGGGTGAAGCAAAAATAATCCTAGGTGTTAAAATCACAAGAAATGAAAATGGCATCTTACTTTCTCAGGAACATTATGTTGAGAAAATACTGAGAAAGTTTGAACATTATGATGAAACTCCTTTGAGTACCCCTTATGATGCTAGTGTGCATCTAAAGAAGCATAAAGGAGATCCGATTGCTCAATCTATGTATGCACAGATTATTGGGAGTCTGTTGCACTTGATGAATTATACCAGGCCAGACATAGCATATGCTGTGTGCAGATTGAGCAGATATACTCACTGTCCAGGCAGTGAACATTGGGAAGCTCTGAAGAGATTATTACGATATCTGAAGGGTACCATGAATTATGGTATACTATATAGTGGATTTCCCGCTGTATTAGAAGGATACAGTGATGCTAATTGGATCTCAGATTCAGACGAGACAAAGTCCACTAGCGGTTATGTTTTTACATTTGGTGGTGGAGCTGTCACTTGGAAGTCAGCCAAACAAAGCATCATAACTCGATCCTCAAGGGATTCTGAGTTAGTTGCTATGGAATTGGCTGGTACAGAGGCTGAGTGGTTGAAAAACTTCTTAGCAAATATCCCATTGGGAGACAAGCCAACGCCATCAATATCATTACACTGTGATAACCAGGCATCAATAGCCACGGCCAAAAATAAAACATTTAATGGCAAAAGCAGACACATTCGATTGAGACACAATATTTTAAGGCAGCTGCTAAAGGACGAGGTGATCTCAATCGATTTTGTGAGGTCAGAAATGAACCTAGCAGATCCATTAACAAAACCCCTAGGGAGGAAACAAATTATCGAAACATCGAGGGGAATGGGACTAAAGCCAGTATGATTACGACAGCGATGGCAACCCAACCTTTGTGATTGGTGATCCCATGAAGAAGGTTCAATGGGTAAGAACAAGTCGCTCGTTAGTACTGCTAGCACTAAACCAAAATTACTAGTCCCTTCCTATGATGTGTGAGAAAGTGCTAGATTGCATATTGGAGGGTTGAGCAAAGCTCTTAATGATTTCAAATCCTACGGGATGGTGTATTCAGTGCAGGTACACTTAAATGAAATCACCTCTACGAATGTGGAGTGGGGCCGCTCCTATGAGATCATGGCAAAATCTCTAGAGCATTCGTTATGCACCAGGCACGCGCACGGCCGTTATAACGCGCAAAACCGTCGTTAACAGCGGAAATGTGGGGGTATAATCTGACTTTTAATGCCTCTAGTACACGCCGAAGAGATGACAGTTCATAGAAGCAGGCTTCACTGGCATCTCTGTGTACTAAGTGTTATCAGTCTAGGTCTAGTTCATAGTCGCAAGAACCACTAGATACAATGATTATACCCATGTGTGTAACTCTGGCTCTTTATTTGACACATGTGGGGGATTGTTGTGAAATAATGCAATATGTGTGTCAAATAAAGTCCCACATGGGAAAGATGAGAAGAAGTCTAAGTGTATAAATGAGATCAAGCATCCTTGGGGGGGTAAATGGGCCAAGAGGGAAGTGGGCCTCGCGCACACAACAACAGGCCACCAGGAGGGAAACGCAGTTGTAAACCGGCGATTTCCCCCCCTGCGCGTGAATTAAACGCGGTAAAGCCTCATTTTACGAAAATTATTTTAAACTTTGTTGAATATTTTTTAATAAAATTATGCTTACCAGAAAAGCCTTATTTTGGACCTGTTAAAAGTCAAGAGGCTTACTGTTTCGTTTTGTGGCCGACCGGACGCGTCTCGCGGGGTGTAGGCGAACGTTGTGTGCACCAACGTTCGCGCTGTTCCGTCTCCAACGGAACCTTACGTTGCTTCGGTCGTACCCGCTCGGCGAAACAGAGGGATGCGTCCTCCGGTGATGTGGCCATTCGCGCCTATATAAGGGACTGTCCAGGCAGCGTGATTATACACTGTTCCATCCTCTTCCTCTTCTCTCCCGCTGTGTTTCCTGTTACAATCGCTTTCGCTGTTCTGCTACCTTGCTTCGCAGGAAGGGTTCGTTTGATCCTGGGGAGTGCCGCTGCCTGTTACACCGAGGGGCTGCGGAATATCTCTCAAGGACAGTGTCCTTGTGACGCGACTCGAACCGGATTTGCTGTTCCTCATTTGCTGCCGCCAACACAAGTCACTGGAAGACATACCATAAGGAAGTTCCCAAGAAAAGCAATGAACCAATTGAGCTAAAACAAATTTAACACTAGTCATACCCAAGTTCATGCCAGGACAACCTCTGCGACCTGAGCCAAATGGTAACAGTTGAAAATCGTGTCCTCGAACGTCAATATTGCTGTCAACAAATCTCTCAGGATGGAACATATGCGCGTTTTCAGACCAAACCTTAGAATCACGTCCTATGGCCCACACATTTACAATTACCCTTGTCTTTTTCCTTATATAGCACCCGTTGATTGTAACATCCTCCATACTCTCTCGAGGGACAAGTAAAGGTGCAACTGGATATAGTCTAAGAGTCTCTTTGATTACCATATCTAAATAACTTAACTTTGCTAAATCAGACTCTTCCACCATTCTCGTCATTCCAACAACGTTTTGTAGCTCATTTTGAAGATTTTTCATCACTCTTGGATGCCTCAAAAGTTCGGATAAAGCCCACTCAATTACAACAATAGAAGTGTCAGTTGCCCCTCCAACCATATCTGATAAAATAGCTTTGATGTTGGCTTTATCTATCACATGGTCTTGGTCGTCCTGTAGATCCACAGGTTGGTGCATCAAGGAAAGCAATATGTGTATGAAGTCGTTATGGTGTTGTAAATTTTGTCCTTTTGAAGTGTTTTCATGCTCCATCACTATCTTATCCAACACATCCTCGAGCGCCTTGTAGTTTCTCTTTAACTTTCGTGTCAAGCCCTGGCAACATCAATTCAATAGCTCACTATATATGAAGGATAACACCAATCTGGAAAGTCTAGATATGATCTGAACAGTCCAGACCTCATTTTCTTTTATTTTAAGTTTTAAAATAATTATTTTAATAGGTATAGAATCTAAAATAAAGATAATATGTTAATTATCATTTTTCAAAAATATTTTTATTTAAAATAATTAATGAAAAATTTTAAATTTAGACCATCCCAATCTGATAAACGCCAATTAAATGTGTATTTTTTAAAGTTCATACTATATATGTTTAATTTCTATCTAGAAACGCAAGGAAAAATATTTAAAAACAATCAATGCTCAAGGCGAAAAGATTATAGGCACATAACATAAAAGAAAATGACGTGATCAGCAAGATAATACTATATACGTGCCGATCATCGGCATGTGGGGTGCAGACTTATAACTCAACCAGAGCTAAAATCTTTCTATAACAGCAGAAACAAATTGCCCCCAATCATTAAAACTAACCACGTGCCATGGTTTCAATTTGATTTTGTAATGGTGAGCTGGCGGTGGCTTACTAAATCTTTCCAAAAGTTAACTATTCCATGCTGCTTAATCAATTATAAACCTGTTTAGAACAGCTTATAAGTAGCTTTTTAACAGTGATTTACAAAATACGAGGCAAGTATTTATGTAAGAAGAGTTCTGTTTCAACTTACGTGAAACGTGTTTATAAGAAAATTTCACCATGATCCCAGACAGACACTATATTGCTTATGCATAATTTCATCCATTTTCTTTTACTTTTTAGAAACTTGAACCTCTAACTTTCTAGCTACTATCTCCAATCCTAATTATAAACCTAGTTGATTAATTTGAGGAGATTAAAGAAAACAGTTAAGTTAGTTATTTGTAATAAATATGTGTTGTTTTTCTTAAAATATCCTTACTAGTCAAGTGTATTTGTTAGAACTATCATTGTTAGAAGAATTACCTTAGAAAAAAAATACATAAATATAAAAGACAAAGTGGATTGGAGTTTTATATTTAGAACCAAAATAAAAGTCAAATGAAGTCTATGAAGTCTTATATTAAGAATCAGAGGTATAATAATCTAATTTGAATTGGTGTGTCCAATAGTTACTAATACCTTTTTTTTGGGTCAAGATCAACTTGTTCTTTTTTTTAACATACGACCTATTTTTCAATTTGTAAAACATCTCAGACTAATTAAATTAACTAACTTCTTCTTCAATGTAATTCAATTAATTAAATCAATGTTATAAATTCTTTTAAATTCCCATACCCATTCACCCTTTTGTGTTCAACACTTCACCTTGGACCGCTCTTGGATCAAAATCTGAGATGCAGCTAGACAACGGACAGATTTGGTTTGCTGGTTGAAACATTGAATACACTAGAAGGAAAAAGAACAGTAAATATGCAGTTGAGTTGATAATGGTACCTGGATATCAAATGGTGCCAAGAAAGGCACGAAATCTGCAATATTGAAGGCTCCAACCAAGTTCAGCGCTTCATGAATAAGACCCTTCAGACCAAATCTATCGTCCCTGTTGCGTCCAAATATCATTTTATACATTATGTCTTCTACAAGCCGCTCCACCTTCCCCGTCAGATCCACCACCTCACTCGCCGCCGCCGACTTCTCAATCGACTTCACCAGCTGTCCCAACTCCTCCCTTCTTAAGGGAGCAAACGTCTCCAATTTCGACGAGCTAACAAGCTGCAAAGTACAGAGCTTCCTCATATCGCGCCAGTAAGGGCCATATTCAGAGAAAACCATCCCCTTGGAGCCATAAGAAAGGAACTCCGACGCTTGAGTCCTTGGGCGGCTGGCAAAAACGACGTCGTGCGTCCTGAGGAAAAGCTCGGCGGCTTCAGGGGAAGAGACGACAACAGCAGGGACCTGTCCGAGTCGCAAGGACATGATGGGTCCATAGCGCTTCGCGAGAGACTGAAGGGATCGGTGCGGGAGAGTACCCAACTGGTGGAGGTTGCCGATCACCGGCCAGGCCGGTGGCCCTGGGGGTTGTTTCAGGCCATGCTTAGTTCGTCTAAGGCACAGGGATAGGAACAGAGCTGAGAGAAGGAAGAGAAGTGGAAGAAGGAGAAGGGAAGGGAAGGGCAAAGAGGAAGAAGGCAGCATGTTTGATTTTTTGTCTGAGAGTAAATGAAGAAAGATGAAGGAGGCTAGCTTCAGTGGTTTGTATATATTACTAGAGGGTACTTTGCTCAGTCAGGGCGTATTTGGTTTGAGGAGAGGCTAGGAGAAGGGAAGGAGGGTAGGGCGAGAGAGGACAGAGGAGACTTTAATGTCATTTTGTTTAGTTTGATTGAGAAGAGGGAAAGAGAGATATTTAATGATTCTTTATCTAGCTAAGAGAGGGAATTGAGGGAGCAATAAGCAATTTATTATTTCATCCTGAGTTTATATTTTTAGGAAAAATGACAGATAAAGAAGCTCCAAAATGTGAAATGCCAATTTGGGAAGCTAAGGAAATGTAATTACCCATAGGGAAGTCCTTCCCAAATTGGAATTTTGAAATTCAGTGAACTGACAAAAATGCCCTTTGTTCTTTTTTTTTTAAAAAAAAAACCAGCCCCTCACCGGTGGCCGGCGGCCGGCCTCCGGCCACCGGCGTCGGCCGCCGGTGTGGTGGCTGCCGGTGAAGGATTTTTGTGACAAGATTTTTTTTTTTTGGAAATGAGATAATATTGGTTCAAAGTGACGGGGTTGTGGGATTTGATCCCACAACCCCTTGGCCACTTGGACCAATAAAAGGGAAGATGGCCATTGGGCTATCAAATATTTCTTAACCTTATAATGCAAACAAAAATATAAGTTAACTCTTTTATTGTGACTCCAGCTCGTGACAACAATTTATCTGAGATGACAAGTTTTAATTGAAAAATAACAAGTCTAAATTTGATATTAACAAAGCAACTTTTCCTTATACATAACAAATAGCAGCATGTGCATTAATTAAAAATGATCATAATTTATTTAAAAATGACACGTCTTTGTTGAAAAATAACAACAATTTATTCGGTATTTCTTGTTATGTATAAGGAAAAGTTGCCTTGTTAATATCAAGTTTAGACTTATCATTTTTCAGTAAAGACGTGTTATTTTCAAATAAATTATGGTCATTTTTAATTAACGTAGATGCTATTTCTTGTTATGTATAAGGAAAAGTTGCTTTGTTAATATCAATTTTAGACTTGTCATTTTATAGTAAAGACGTGTTATTTTTAAATAAATTATGATCATTTTTAATTAATGCACATGCTGCTATTTGTTATGTATAGGGAAAAGTTGCTTTGTTAATATCAAATTTAGACTTGTTATTTCTCAATTAAGACTTGTCATCCTCAAGCAAATTGTTGTCACGAGCTGGAGTCACAGTAAAAGAGTTAACTTATATTTTTGTTTGCATTATAATGTTAAGAAATCTTTGATGGCCCAATAGCCATCCTTTTGTTGGTCCAAGTGGCCAAGGGGTTGTGGGATCAAATCCCACCCCTCCACTTTGAACCAATATTATCCTATTTTCAAAAAAAAAAAAACTTTGTCACAAAAATCCTTCACCGGCAGCCACCACACCGGTGGCCGGCGCCGGTGGCCAGAGGCAGCCGGCAGCCGCCGGAGGCCAGTCGCCGGTCGACCACCGGTGAGGGCTGGGTTTTTTTTAAAAAAAGAAGAACAAAGGGCATTTTTGTCATTTGTGACAACCGCTTTTTCAAAACCATTTTAGATTAAATTCAACAATCCATTTGAACGATTAACCATGATAGAAAAGAAGAAACCTTAAAATTTTAAAATCACTATCATGGTTAAAAGAAATAAACTTATATTACGAGCCACATCAATCGTTCACTTGGGCCTTGGACTTTCAAAGTCCAGAAATATCATTCAACCGTTAGCCCAAACCAAACTTACACTTTCAAACACACAAACTGATAAAACATTTTAATATAAGTCATAGAGCCCATTAGTCAAAAATCAACACTATCAAATGAGTGTAATACGCAAAGTCTAAAATGTCTCGGACCTCCTCACGGCCCTATCATACCAGATAGTAGTAATTAAAAGTATTATTTTACATCATGATAGTAGATGAGCCCTATGTGGCAATATATAACAAGTCAGCACATAGAACAAAAGCAGGGAGGCTATACAAGCTATAACAGCACACTATGCCTCCTGAGCCTTCCCTGATGGGCCACCACCTGAACTATCACCTGAAAATGTTAAACCACGGGGTGAGACAAACGCCTCAGTAACTAACTTTCTAACTCATCATACATACTAACACGTGCTCGTGAGGTGTCCAGTGGGACAGTTATTAATTCTCGAGAACTATAGATATATAATTTCAATCATCCAAACCCTCACTATGGGAGCCAACACACAAGCCACATAAGTCTATCCCTCACTCTGGGGGATCAATCAAACATACGGGCCTATCCCTCACTCTGGGGGACGAATAAGAAGCCACAAAGGCCTATTCCTCACTATGGGGGACGAAAGAAGAAGCCAACCAATGTGCACCAATGGCGGCCTTACCACGTGGTAGGATACGACTCAATTCAAAATCCAAATAACAACCAATCATTCATAATATAATAAAAATGTCTCAATCTTTTCTCAGTATAATCCATAAGATTTAAATCATATATCTTTTCCAAACTTCTCAATCACCATTCCAAAAATCCCACAAGACAATTTTCATAGCTCAAAAGATATAACATATCTACTCAAGTTCCAAATATCAAATATTATTCTAAAAATAACAAAATACTCACAAACAACATATTAGCATATATAACAAGTGGAAAGTGGTTACCTCTCATCAAAGCAGTACTTAGGATTACCAGAAGGTCAATCCTTTGCTCAACCAATAATTAATCTACACAATTAATATAACCACATATTAATATAAATTAATTAATTAAACTTCTCTATATTATTTAAATTTCTAACAACCCCAAATTATTTATTTACCACCTCCAAATTATTTATCTTAATAAAAAGGATTTTCCAACAATTTCTAAATATAAAATTATTATGTTCTAAATTCTAAAAATCTCATTTTAAGTTTAAACCTCAAAATCAAACTATCAAAAATTCAATAATACTTCAAATATTTATAAATGAACAATCTAATCAAAACTTTAATGGTATAACTACCATATATATATTTCCATAAATAATAAAATTTTTAGCTACAATAATTATTTTAAAACCTCCAGTCACCCAATAAATAAAAATAAACCGATTAAAATCTTAATAATATGTTAAACACCTCAATTAAATTATTCAACTTAATTTTAATCGGTAAAATATGATATAAATCATATATCACATATTTTTCAACTAGAAAAATCCATTTAAGCACTAAAACCAACAAATGGACCAATCCAAACCGATTAAAATCTCAATAATATATCAAACAATCCAAATAAATTATTTAACTTAAATTTAATCGGTAAAAATATGGTATATCCCATAAATAACAGATTTTCAACTAAATAAATTAATTTAAATACTAAAACTAACAAATAGAGAAATCTAAACCGATTAAAATTAACAACTCATTCACTTCTAAATTTCTATAGTCATCTTTTATCAAAATTCAATACTTATATCATATATAAGTCTCAAAATTTTCTCTAATCACTATAATAATACTACTATTAGGAAGCATAAAATATATATGAAATATTTATGAAGAAAGTTTGATGAAAAGAGATAATTTCATGTACCTAAAATATCTTCAAAGCTTACCCTCTGCTTCACCGGTGTGCTCTCTCTCTCACACACTTCAGCTCTCTCTTTCTCTCTTTTCTTCTCCTCTTTCTCTCTTTCTTCTTGCGTTTGCCGTGGGGGGGGATGGATTGTGGGGGGTATTTAACACCCCCACATAATTATTGGGGGAGGGGAATTTCAACCCCAACCCCCACGTTTTTTTCCACCCCCTCCAATTTTTTCCACACCCCCTCCAACTTTCCACCGAAATTTTTTTTAATATTATAAAAAATATTATATTATATTATATTATTTTTCAATTATATTATTTTTCAATTACTTTTTTTTAAGGATATTACATCATTTCACTGAATTTCAAAATTCCAATTTGGGAAGGACTTCCCTATGAGTAATTACATTTCCTTAGCTTCCCAAATTGACATTTCACATTTTGGAGCTTCTTTATCTGTCATTTTCCCATATTTTTATTTATATATTATATAAATCAATTCACATTTTAATTTAAATTACATAACTGATTGAAAATTTCAGCTAAATCATGTTATATGTGTATAAAAAAATGATATAATATTTTTTATGTAAATTAATATATATATATTTGAAGTAATTAATTAACACATTTTATTTTTTTATTTTTTTACAAAAAACGAAATCTTTTCTCTTCTGCCCATTCTGTTCTAGCTTTAATGTACAATCTAATTAATAAACTAATACGTTTGAAAAAAAATCAAACCGCAAAGATACATAGAAATATTAGAACTGGAAGAAGATAATATGAATGGCTGCGACCCTTACAGGGGAGAAGTGACGATAAGGATAAAAATAGCCACTATTCCTCTTCCACTCTCTCCTCCCCAAAGCCATCACGTTCAACTCCTCTCATCTCTTTCCTCCCCTTCTTCCACCGCCACCACTATCCCCTTCTCTATCTCCTAGCACCTTCTCGTCCAACTCCATAATCAGCTTGCGGCTGCTGACTAATGCCAAGCCAGAAAAGAGACTCCCAGCCTACTCATCATTTTCGTTGGCGGTGGTGCTCAGGAAGACAAGAAAGAAAGAAGAAGAAAGGAAGGAGTATACCGCCAACCAAGCTGGGAATATCACAAATATATAAGGATAACATAGTCAGAAAAATTTTGACTTTCCTAAAAAAAACCCTAATTTAAGGGGACCCAAATGAGGGTAAACGAGGGGAGGGGAGGAAAAATTTTGAGTCTTCTTTCCTTCTAAATTTTCGTCCAAATAAGGGGAGGGGGTCATATTCCCTCCCCTCCACCCTTCCTTCCAATCAAATACATCCTTAGAGTATATTTGGCTCAATGAGAGGAAGGAGAGAGGAATGATTTTAATGGAGGAAAAGGAAAGGGGGGAGAGTAGAAGGATTTTAA